TTCATATGTTTATGGGTCATTTTTATATTAGTTAGTGAATTATCTGTACATTTCTCTGGCTTGCTTTTTCCTAACAGGTTTTCTGTCAATTTGTTTTTTCTAGCTCTTTATTTATTTATTTATTTATTTTTATAACTTAGAGGCATTAACTCTTTTTGTTGTTGTTTTTAAACTTATATATAAGTTCTTTGGTTTATCTCTTTATGGCCCCCTCCCTGCTTCCCTTTGAGGTTCGTCAGTCTAAAAACCAATTTGTACTACTTAATCCCTTCACCTTTTTTTGCCCATTCTAACCCCCCTCCCATCTGACAACCATCAAGAAGTTCTCTATATCTATGAGTCTGTTTCTGTTCTTGTTCATTTTGTTTGTAGATTCAATCGTTGATAGATATTTATTTATTGCCATTTTATTGTTCATATTTTTTATTTTCTTCTTCTCGAGAAGACAAGCCAACATTTCATATAGTACTGGTTTGGTGGTGATGAACTCCTTTAACTTTTTCTTGTCTGGGAAACTATATGTTCATCGATTCTAAATGATAGCTTTGCAGGATAGAGTAATCTTGGTTACTGGTCGTTGCTTTTCATCACTTTGAATATATCTTGCCACTCCCTTCTGGCCTGCAGTTTCTTTTGAGAAATCGGCTGATAGTCTTATGGGGGCTCCCTTTTAGGTAACTAACTGCTTTCCTCTTCCTACTTTTAAGATTATCTCTTTGTCTTTAACCTTTTGCATTTTGATGATGATGTGTCTTGGTGTGAGCCTATTTCAGTTCATCTTGTTTGGGACTCTCCATTTTCTTCACCAAGTTAGGGAAGTTTTCTGTCATGATTGTTTCAAATGGGTTTTCAATTTTTTGCCCTCTCTCTTCTCCTTCTGGCACCCCCATGATGCGAATGTTGGTATGCTTGAAGTTGTCCCAGAGGCTTCTTAAACTATCCTCAATTTTTTGGATTCTTTTTTTTTTTTTTGCTGTTCTGTTGGGGTGGTTTTTTTTTTATTTTTTATATTCAGACTCAATAATTTGCATCTTGACTTCATCTTCGCTACTATTGATTCCCTGTAAATTATTCTTTTTTTTTTTTTAATCCTCACCCGAGGACATTTTTCCATTTTTTGTTCAGATAGAGTGGGAAGGAGAGAGAGGAAGAGAGAGAGAAACATTGATGTGAAAGGGACACATCGAGTGGCTGCCACTCGCATGACCAACCAGGGCTGGGGACAAACTGCAACTGAGGTATGTGCCCTTAGCGGGAACTGAACCTGGGTCTCTCTGGACCACAGACCGATGCTCTAACCACTGAGCAAAACCAGCCAGGGCAATTCCCAGTAAATTATTCTTTATTTCAGTTAGTGCATCCTTCATTTCTGACTGGCCCTCTTTTATGCTCTTGAGGTTCTCACTGAGGTCATTGAGCATCCTTGTAAACAGTGTTTTGAACCCTGCATCTTTTAGATTGCTTATCTCTGTTTCGTTTTGTTCTTTACCTGGAGTTTTGTTTTGTTCTTTTATTTGGGACGTGTTTCTTTGTCTCCTCATTTTGGCTGCTTCCCTGTGTTTGTTTCTATGTATTAGGTAGAGTTGCTATGTCTCCTAGCAACTTGTAGTAGGTGTTCTGTAGGGTCTCATGGCACAGCCTCCCTGGTCACCCCAGCTGGGCCCTCAAGGTGTACCCCTCGTGTGGACTGTACACCCTTCTGTTGTAATTGAGTCTTGATTGCTGTTGGCACGTCAGTGAGAGGGATTTACTCGTGCTGATCAGCTGTAAGGACTGGCTTTGCCTACTGCCCACTGGCCTCTGACTACCTTGGAGGATCAGCTGTGCAGGGGCCCAACACACAGAGCAAGACTTATTTCAGCGGGGCTCTGGTACCCACTGAGCCCACTCCTTGAGTGTGTCGCTTATGGAGGTGGTTGGATGGTGGTGCTTTGATTTGGTCTGAAGCTGTTCACTGGATATGCTGGCTCTGGGGCAAGGTCAGCCACTGCCTGTGTTCTACCTGGGACCACTTGGTGTAAGCTACAGAGTGATCTACCGATAGTTGCTTCTTGTGCTGGGTTTGGAGTTGCCCAGGCAAAACCAAGGCTGGCTGCTTCTAGTGCCAGGCCTGGGGCCACTTAAGGAGAGGTATGGAGCTTGCTGAGACCAGATTCTGCTTGTTTGAGAAAATTTAGGAAAATCTGAAGCAGGATCCAAGACAGGCCAGTCCTGTGGTAAAACCACTGGTAACAGCTTGGGTGGGCCAGAAGGTTGGGTGGGGCAGGGCCTCAGGGAATCACCAGGGCGGGGCAAACAGTATGAGCCAGGTTGCTAAAGTCCCAGATATGGCAGCAGTCTGCTGGCCCCATGGAAGGGCTCACCAAAGGAACAAAGGCCTCCAACAGCACGTCAGTCCAGGAGAAAGCTGCCTCTCCAGCTCTTGCCCCAATGCTGAAAAATTCAGTTCTTCCCCATTTGTCTCTGGTGCCTTTCAAGCTGCCTCCCCACCCTGGAGCCTGGAGGAAGCAAGTTCCAGTAAGTCCAAGCACAGGCCCATTAGGCGGAGCTACCTGGGGCTCCAGCAGTTGTAGCCTCCCTCAGCCTCAGTTCCCGCTGGTTTTACAGCCAGAAGTGATGGGGATTCTCTTCCTGGAACTGGAACCCTGAGCTGGGCGCCTGGTGTGGGCCATGGACCTGTCACTTCTCAGGGAGGACCTTCCTAGCTAAGGTGTCCCTCCTGCTTTATATCTTCTACACGTGGGAAATGGGACCAGCCTGTCCTCACCTCCGCCCTCCTACCAGTCTCCATGTGGCTGTTTCTTTCATTTCGTAGTTGTAGGACTTCCATTCAGTTGGATGTCAGGAGGTTCTGAAGGATGGTTGTTCTGTAGTTTAATTGTCATTTTGATGTGGTTGTGGGAGTAGGAGAGACCACGTTTACCCACCCACTGTCCTGACCGGAAGTCACAGGTATTAACTCTATCAGTGATATAAGTTGCAAATATTTTTCTCAATTTTCAAAAGTTTCATTTTATGGAGTCGAATTCATTGATCTTTTCTATTACTATATCTGGATTTAGAGGTACCTCACACCCACTTTATTTTCTAGTATTTGCATGGTTTCACTTTTTACATTTAGACCTGAATTTATTTGGAATGTATTTTTCAGTATAAGGTATAGACCTAATTGTACTTCTTTTCAGTGGACTACTCAGCTGTCCAGGCACCATTTAAAAAAAATTATCCTGTTGCCCAGCCAGTGTGGTTCAGTGGTTTGAGCATCGTCCCATGGACTGAGAGGTCGGGTTTGATTCCCGGTCAGGGCACATGCCTGGGTTGTGGGCTCGATCCCCACTAGGGGGTGTGCAGGAGGCAGCCAATCAGTGTTTCTTTCCCACATCAATGTTTCTTATCTCTTTCCCTTCTTCTCTCTAAAAACATCAATAAAAATAAAAATTTTAAAAACGTTCTTTAAAAAAGGGGAAAAAATCTTGTAAATTTTCTATTATTTTAACTGAAATGTGCATTATAATTACTTATGCACGGTCATACACCACCTAATGATGTCTTAGTCAGTGACAGACCACGTATCTGATGGTAGTCCATAAGATCATACTGGAGGTGAAGAATTGCTGTCACCTTATGAAGTCATGTCCTTTGTGAGGCCGTGCCCAGCACCTTGCTCACTGTCTGTGGTGGTGCTGGTGTGAGCAGACCTGCTGAGTCACCAGTACAGAAGTGTGACTCATACATACAACTATGTCCATGTACTTGGTAATAAGTGAGTATGTCACTGATTTGTGTATTCACAACACCACACTTTTGATCATTATTTTAGAGAGTGTGTTCTTTCTACTTAATGAGAAAGTTCCCTGTGAAACCGCATGTTGTGTCAGTGTTCGCCATGCCTCTGGATTGCATCATTTTCTCTTGGCCTGATGTGATGTTGTGTTGCTTTAGACGGCAGCACACTACACAGCTTATACCTGAGGTCAGTGGGCTGACCCACAGGGAGCAGTAGGCTCCACCATCCCGTGTGTGTGAGTACACCATGACGTTTGCGTGATGCAGTCACCTAGTGATAGTTTTTCTGGCTGGATGTCCACCATTCAGCAGCACACAACTGTATACAGATGCTCCTCACCTTCATGATGGATTTACATCCTGATGAACTGAAACTTAAAAATATCTTATGTCGGGAATGCATTTATTATGCCTAACCTGTCAGACCTCTGATCCTGGCCTAGCCGTGTCTACTGAAGGCACATTGCTTTCGTCCCATCATGCAGTAGAAATGTGTAAGTCGTGCAGTCGTAAGCAGGGGCGATCTCTAGAGCCCTCTCTACCTCTTCTGTGAATTTCTTGAAGGCAAGAATTATGTTTTATTTACCTTATCCTCGGGCTATACCCAGTGCATTTCCTCCTCAACTTATGACTTCCCAATAAACCCTTCATAAGTTTAAAATACAGTATGTTGAAAATGTATTTAATACACACCTAACCTGCTAAACATCAAAGCTTAGCTCTGAGCCTGCCTACAATGTGCTCAGAGCCCTGATAGTAGTCGACAGTCAGGCAGAGTATCTAACACAAAGCTTGTTTACAATTCAGTGTTGAATATCTCATGTAATTTATTATGAGTATCACTTTAGAGCCATTATAAAGTTGAAAATTAAGTAAATACATTGTAAGTTGAGGACTGACTGAGTCTGAAATCGGTATTTCATAATTATTTCTTCAGTTGATTTTATGTAGACAGAAAGACGTACTTCACAGGGACTAAGCTGGATTAAGCTGTGGTTCTTGAATGTTCCTGTTCGTATTTCTCACTCATACCTGGGGTGGGAAATGCTGTTGCTCCTATTACACCTTTGACTTTGTGGTTGGAGATAGAACTCTACTGTTTGGTTTACTCTATCCAGAGGCAACTTTTGATTAGTATGAACACTCAAGTTCCATTATAAACTGTTTCTTACAGCTTCTAAAAAAAAAATAGAGAATAGACTGTTGATACTTACCATCATTTTCTTTCTTGGGAGGTACTGATGTTAAACTTTCATCTTTTTGTAATTGGAGACTTTTCTCATTAGATATTATCATAGATTCTTTTTCCTATTAGAAAAAAATAAAAATTTATTGTCAGGTATGATAAAATCTAATTTTGACTATAAAAACTGAGGGATCATGGCCCTGGCCGGTTTGGTTCAGTGGTTAGAGCATTGCCCTGCGGTCCAGAGAGACCTTTGTTCAGTTCCGGCAAAGGACACGTGCCTCAGTTGCAGTTTGTCCCCAGCCCTGGTTGGGTTGTGCGGGTGACAGCCACTCGATGTGTCCCTTTCACGTCGATGTTTCTCTCTCTCTCTCTCTTCCTCTCTCTCCCTCCCATTCTATCTGAACAAAAAATGGAAAAAAAAGTCCTCAGGTGAGGATAAAAAAAAAAAACAAAAAAAAACTGAGGGATCATGGACAATATGTATCTTCTCATAGTCACAGTTAATGATATTTCTTTTGTTTTATTAGGACTTTATACATTTAATAAATTATAATGTAAATATTTGTTTAGCTTGTTTTTACTTTATACTGTGGGCTATTTGAGTAAAAGACCCAGGTCTTGGCCTGGCCTGTTTAGCCAAGTGATTAGAGCGTCAGCCCATGGACCAAAGAGTCGCCGGTTCAATTCTGGTCGAGGGCACGTACCTTGGTTGTGGTTTGATCCTGGCCCTGGCTGGGGTCCTGCAGGGGGCAATCAATCGATGTGTCTTTCTCACATCGATGTTTCTCTCTCTCTCTTTCTTCCTCTTTTCCACTTTATCTGGAAATCAATGGAAAAATATCCTTGGGCGAGGATTAAAAAAAACAGGTTTTTAAAATTTTTATATCTCCAAAAGCCAAATTCAGTGCTTTTTCCTAAATGTTGAACATATTGAAGTTCCAAATGGGAAGTAGGAGAGAATTCTATAACTTGGAATTAAGTTTTTCTGAGGTGGAACCTAAAATGAAGATAGTGTCTTGAGATTATTTTTAAGTAAAGTAGCTCTTTTAATTTTTTTTTTTTCCTTTATTGATTTTAGGGGAGAGGAAGGAAGAGGGAGAGAGAGATAGAAGCATCAGTGAGAGAGAACATTGATTGGCCGCCTTCTGTATGCCCCCCACTGGGAATTTGACCCACAACCCGGGCTTGTGCCCTGACCAGAAATCGAACTAGCGACCTCCTGGTGCATGGGTTGATGCTTAACCACTGACCCACACCAGCTGGACAGCTCTTTTATTTTATTTTATTTTTTTTAACTCATCTTTATTGTTGAATGTATTACAGATGTTTCCCCCCTTTTTTCCCCCATTGACCACCCCTCCCCCTGTCCTACCCCCCTCCTGTCTTCTCCACACTATTGTCAGTGTTCATTGGCTACGCATATGTGCATAGAAGTTCTTTGGTTTATCTCTTCCTGTCCTCCTTCCCCCCTTCCCTTTGAGGTTCATCAGTCTAACAACCAATTTGTACTTCTTAATTCCTTCATTTTTTTTTTTTTTTTTTTTTTTTATCCTCACCCGAGGATATTTTTCCATTTTTTGTACAGATAAGAGTGGGAGGGAGAGAGAGGAAGAGAGAGTGAGAGAAACATCGACATGAAGGGACACATCGAGTGGCCGCCACCCGCACGACCAACCAGGGCCGGGGACAAACTGCAACCGAAGTACGTGCCCTTAGCGGGAACCGAACCCGGGTCTCTCCGGACCGCAGGCCGACGCTCTAACCGCTGAGCCAAACCGGCCAGGGCTAATTCCTTCATCTTTTTCACCAATTCCCCCAGTCTCCACCCATCTGGCAAACAACAAAAAGTTCTCTGTATCTGTGAGTCTGTTTCTGTCGGGCAGCTCTTTAAATTATTCTTTATGGTTCTTGTCCAAACAGAGTTCCTGACATTGTATTCTACCATGTTGAACAGAACCAAAGCACCAGTCCTGTAATACGTGTACAGCACCGAGTAGACTGTTTTTGTCTCTTCCGGTAGTGACCCTTAATTACCTACATGCCTCCATAAGGCCCTTGGAGTCCTTTTAGTCCAGCCTACCCACCGCACTCAGACCCATGCTCCAGGCTATTAGTTCTAGGAGAATTGGGGTCTTTATCATTCAGTCTCTCTCTCACATTCCCGGAGAGAACATTTTGTGCCATTAGACTAAAGTATATTATGTGTGCATTTTCGACTTTTGGTATCACTCTGGAGTCCTCTATTCTCTCATGTGTGTACTGGTTGAACAGTCCCTTCTACTCTGTGCTTGTATATTAAGTGCCGTTGCACTCTCTTCCACTTCGTTTATATTAAGATAGACTTCCAAGGCAACGTAAAGAAATGAAACAGAACTTCTTTTACTTATTACATGTTTGGGACCAGGAAATTTTGAAAGTATTCTTTTCACTGGTCAATTGAAATCATCCATGTGAACCAATAGCTTATTATTGTGATGGGCCTTCTTTATCTAAAGCTATGACTAGTGATACCTATCTTTTTTGTCCTGTTGTTGGGCAAGAATACTACTAGGATATTAATTAACTTTGTTGAAAGAAAATGTGGTATTAACATTTACCCATGTGTGTGCGAGAAAATGAGAAAAGAGAGAGAGAAAGAAAGAAAGAGGAAAAGAGGGAAGAAGGAAAGAAAGAAATAAAGAAAAAAGAAACAATTGTAGTTAACTGGTCCCTTCTAAAGTCTTTTCCATCTTATTTACAGTGGAGAAGAACTTTGAAGCGGTTGACACTGTTATATATTTGGCCCTATTTCTTATTTTTCAGTGTGTGTGTGTGTGTGTGTGTGTGTGTGTGACACACTATAGGCAGGCGAAAGATACGTGCTGTATTAACTGTTTCCTGACCCAGCCGTAAGACAAGAAAACTACAGTAGTCACTTAGCCCACACCAGTGGGGCATGAAAGATGTGGTGGAGTATTAACTCATGACCATCACAGTTACTGGAAGAGTTTAAATTGTTGATGCTTATTTAAAAAGAAAGCCCTATATTTAGTAGTTTTTCATTTTTGGTACTGTATATATAGTTGACATACATAACATTTTGTGAAATACTGTATATACCAAAATAACAGTACTCTTCTATTTATTTTCTTGAACCTCGCCTTCCTAAAATAATAAACCTTAAGCTGATAATCCATCTTCATTTCTCATAATACACATCTCCTATTTTATTTTGAGATAATATATCCAAATATAGGGCACTGTTTAACACTATTTAACATATAAATCTCAACTGGTCAAGGATTCTCTCAGGGTTTAATTTTTCTTAAATTTTGTGTGTTGGTTACTATAGATACTGTGTGATAACCATAGGTATTATTAATCTGAGAGGCATGCGTACTTTAAAAATAAAATCTTAGAGACCCTTATTTTGAATCACTTTTAATCGCTGAAAGTGCTTCTTCTTTCCTCCTACCTTATCAGACACGTTCAGAAAAGACAAAAGCATGCAGTCAAATGGGCTAGACTATTTTAGAAGTTAAATTTAGAGTAGAAATAAAAGGTACCTTAATATTTTTTCCATCCAGGTATTGATCCTCATAATCTCGAGTAAATAAAGTTTCTTCGAAATTATCTGTTCCATAATCATAGGTGTTGCGTGAGTGCTGCAGAGGTGGTGGTGCTGGCTTTATCAGAGGCACAAACAGTAGTAGGAGCAGTGCAGACTGCAGACTCTTCATTTTCACACAAAGGAAGGTGACTGGATGTTAATGAACTAGTGGCCTGCTGACTGTAAGACAATACTCCTTTCCCCCTGGAAGTAAAAATGCAGACCATCGAAGCAATATTTAAAAGCTTAGAGGACTTTTGGCAGGGTATATGCACTAGGGGCCAGAGAACAAGTATTTAACCCTTAGTGATCTTTAATTAGATGTTAAAAGTTTGTATGTGTTAGTGATATTCTGAAGAACAGTTTCAGAAAGTGGTTTTATGTCTTTTTAATAAAAAAAATCCCAGGCAGTGTTGATAATTTCAGTTTCTTAATAATTAAGTGCCTTGAACAACGGTACTTTTATGGACCAAAAATCTTAGGATACCTGTAGTGTAAATAGTTAACATGAAGACTCAAGATCCTGTCTCGTGTGAGTTTAAAATATCGTATTTCAACTTTACTACTTTATAAGAACTCTTGATTTATAATGGTATGAACAAAAACAAGTTCCAAGAAAAGTGTTAGAGTTTAAACTTTAAGTTTAACATTATGAAAAGTAGTCATTAACATTTGGAGGTGGCACAAAATATAGGAAAAGCCATAGTTTTAATTTTCTTAGTTTCTTTGTTTTCATAGTTATCACTATTTTTAGTTAATAGAATTGCTTTCTAAATTTAAACTATGAAAAATAATAGTAATAGTATTGCGGACAAGAAGAATATAGAACTTTAATTAAGGACCAGAGGAATGTAATGGCCAAGATTTGGGCACACTGGGGGGTTTTATCTGGTGGTGCACATTTCAGACTTTTTCTTAAGTAATTTCAAACAGAATCACTCAGAGTTGCTGTTGCTGCATTGTATATGCCAGTTTATCGAAAATTATAAAAGAAGAATAACGTGGTTTGTGACGTTTGCAGCATCGAGTTCTTGCCTGCAGTGGATATTCAAGTTATGCAGTGATAATGCACTACAGTGTTTGCTAAAAGCAATTGTTTGAGGTAACTGAAACATTAAAAATTAGAGATAGCTTTTACATTTATTAGGACTGTTAGATGAGTCACACCTTAACAAATGATATTTAAAATAACATGGGGTGGGGGAGCCTACCGTTGCAGCTGTTTTGTGGTTTTCCTCAATAGATGTTCGTGTCTGTGCATAAGCCCCAAGTGGGAGGTGAAGGCGGAAAGCTGTGGATTGATTTCAAACTGCTGTGTAGAATTTCAGGGCCCAACAGCTTTAAAAGCAGTTTTCATGTGGTAGAGAGCTTTGCCAACATTCTTTCTTGAGAGTGAAACGTAATGTGTTGTACTAGAGAACTGTGCTTGAAATCTTTGTGATTGCTCTACTCGGTCTGCTTATGCTAATTGTTGTAAGTCTGTGTTATTTTTACCTTGTAAAATGAACACTAATGTTTTTGTGAATATTAGTTTATGAGGATAACAGTTATAAAATCACACTTTTTGTTGTGTGTTAATCCTCAAGGATGTTTTTCCATTGATTTTTAGAGAGAATGGAAGGAAGGGAGTGGAAGAAAGAAAGAGACAGAGAGCGATATGAGAGAGACACATCGATTGGTTGCCTCCTGCATGCACTCTGAAAGGGCTAGGGATTTAACCTGTAACCAAGATATGTGCCCTTGACTGGAAATTAAACTTGTGACCCCTTTGTGTGCAGGGAACTACACTGGCCAGGACTAAATTCATGCTTTCTATTTTAATGTTTTCACAGGAGGTGAAACATATGTTTTTTGAATGAAATAAAACAGCAAAACAAAGCATAGTGTATGATCTTAATTTAATGAGGAGTACAAATATTTTTCTATACTGTAATTAGTTTATAGCTAAGAAATTTCCAATGTAAAAATTAGTTTAAAAACAAATTATTATTATTATTTTTTGGTTAATCTTCGTCCGAGGATATTTTTCCATTGATTTTAGATAGAGTGGAGGTGGTGGGAGGGGAGCATGGAGAGAGAGAGAGAAACATCAAAGTGAGAGAGACACATCTATTGGTTGCCTCCTGCACGACCCTGACCAGGGCTGGGAATCAAACCTGCAACCCAAGTACATGCCATTGACCGGAATTGAACTCAAGACCCTCGCTCTACTGCTGAGCCAAACCAGCCAGGGCATAGCACAAATTATTTTATAGTTTAGTCATTTGGGGTCCCCTCCCATTTATTTTAGTTGCATATTAAATAACCCAAGTGTCAGGGTCAGCTTTTAAAAAGTGGATTTTATTTATAATTTGGGATTTGATAATAAAAGATAAAGGTTCACTTTTATTTTTATCAGTCTTTGGTACTTTTAGCAATCAAGGTAACATTTCTTTCTCCGAGGCTAAAAATTCAGTAGATATGGATGTGGATAAATATTTAAAATATAGAAAAGGAGCCCTGGCTGGTTTGACTCAGTGGTTAACGAGCGTCGGCCTGCGGTCCAGAGAGACCTGGGTTCTGTTCCTGCTAAGGGCATGTACTTTGGTTGCAGTTTGTTCCTGGCCCTGCTTGGGCCCTGCAGAATGCAACCTCACAATGTGTCCCTTTCACGTTGATGTTTCTCTCTCTTCCTCTTTCTCCTCCCCACTCTATCTGAACAAAAAATGGAGGAATGTCCTCGGGTGAGGATGGAAAAAAAAAAAAGAAAGAAAGAAAATGAGTCCTGGCTGGTTTGGCTCAGAGGTTGGAGCGTCAGCCTGCGGACCAGAGAGTCCCAGGTTCAGTTCCCGCTAGGGGCATGTACCAAATATGTGTGTGTGTGTGTGTGTGTGTGTGTGTGTGTGTGTGTGTGTGTACACACACATATATATATATAAAATGACAGAATACTTATTTTTTCTCTTCAAAACTGGTCTAAGATTCTTTCAAATTTAAGCTGGGATAAATTAAAACTTGATACTCATGTTTTTATTTGAGTGAATTATTTTAAATTTAGTTGTGATATTTTCTGGTTTTGGCTGATATAAATTGTCAATTGTATGGCTTTAAAGGTATAATAAAAAATTTTAAGTCTTTGAAAGTTTCTAATAATGAAACAAGATATTAATTTGTTTTCATATTGTGTGGCAGTTTTAACAGAATGTAAAGAAGTGAACTGGATAGAGATTAAATGTCTGCTTTAGGGAATCTTAGAGATTCATAGTTTTACTAATGGTATATATAGTTTGATACTTTGTACTATAAAAAATTACTTTGTGGATTATAATATCTTTCCTTGAAAAGTTATGACCAGGAACAGTTTTATTGGCATTCATTCATTAAGCAGAAGTTTATTGAGCACTACAGATAAAATAAGCCCAGATAAGAAAAACTCAATTTCTCCCCTCAAGCAACTTGTGGTCTATAAATCAGCAGGAAATGCAGCAAGCAAACCGTAGAATGCATGGTGGGACCTGCTCCACAGAATGTGCAGGGTTCTGTGACAGCCGGAGAGGAGGCGGCTGCAGAAGCTGCATCCAGCTGATTTAGTGAGCAGACCAGTGATCAGTGGGGGTGCTGGCAGAGGGTGAGACGTTCCAGGACTGGGAGCATCACATCGATGGGGAGAGTAAATCCTTGAGAAAACTTATTAGTGTATATGGCTGGAGCTTGGAGGGAGAGAAGCAAGCAGTGAAGGAGTGGCACATATTAAGAGATCAGACAAGGGACTAGAGGTCAGATTAAAGAGAGTTTTTTATATCTTGCTAAGGTGTTTGGGCTTTATTCTGTAGCCAGTGAGAAACCACTGAGAGGTTTTTTTGTTTTAGCCAGTGAGTGATAGGATCCTATTTTTATTTTAGAAATATCCCACTAATGTTGCACTTCTGAAGAATACCACTATTGTCTATTGTATTGGTTGTGTGTTACAATTTTAGTGACTTAAAATAGCATACATTTACTAACTCGCAGTTTCTGTGGGTTAGAAGTCCAGGCATGGCATTGCTGGGTTCTCTGCTTCAGGATCTGACCTGAGAGCTGCAGTCAGGTTGTTGCCTGAGATGCACCCTCACTTCAAGCATTGAGTAGAAGAAAGGATTTGCATGTGACCTCATGTGGTTGTTGGCCGCAGCTTCATGTAGCCTGTGGGACCATGAGCTTCCCTTTCTTGCTGGATGTGGGCTGAAGGCCACCCTTAATTCCTTGCAGCGTGGCCTCTTCCATCAGGCAGCTCTGAACATGATGGTTGCTTCTTCACTGCTAGAAAGGGAGATAGTCTTCCAGCAAGATGGACATTACAGTCTTTTTAGCAATTGTGCACACGTAATCACATATATGCCATCACCTTTGCCATGTTCTGTTGGTTAGAAGTAAGTCAGAGGTCATAGCCACACGGAAGGGGACATGACTACACAAGTCAAGATTCTAGAGGTATTCAGATTTGCACTGGTAAATAAATCCATCTTCTTATACAGAGTTAGCCAAACAGAGTTTGTGGGCATAGTCCCTAAGACCATCCTCACTTCTTATACCAACTATAAGTTTATGGGGGTTCTCCATACCCCTCTCACATTTGATAATTGCTAGAATGCTTCATGGAACTTACTGAAAGCCATTATAGTTGTGGTGTGGTAGGGAAGGAGATAGGAAACACCAGGCAAGAGGCGAAACTAGGAGGGTTCCAGAGTGCAGAGCTTCCGTTGTTCTCAGGATGCATCACCCTCCTGGCACTGATGCAGGAGAACACACTGTACCAATCAGAAAAGTGCGACCAAGCCTCTCTGTTCAGAGCTTTTATTGGGGCCTTATTACACTGACATGATTGAGTGTCCCACACGGTTGAACTCAGCATACAGGTCAACTTGATCCTTCATGAACCAAAGTCCCCATCCTAAATCACATGGTCTTTCTGTCTCTCTCTGACATGATCAGCCTAATATCGGGTATGACTAGCTCCACCCTGAAATCTGGTGTGATGACCCCCAATTCTAAACAAAGATATTGATTACATCCTAGAAGCTAACAGCAAAGCCCAGACCTCTCTTTGGGGCAAACTTCTTTACTATACAGTTCCCAGAATAAAATATGTTTGAAATGTAGATTGTTTTCTGTTCTACACAGAACTATTATATCCTAGTAGAAAGCTACTTAGCTTTCTCTGCACCGTAATAAAAGGTACACGTCTAAGACTCAAGAGCAGACATTTATCCAAAATGGAGTTAGTTTTCGCTGTGGAGTTCTTTTCAGTGACCCTATTGTGTTATTCTTGCTATCTTTGTAGGGTTTTATATTGTTGAAGGTGGGCCATTGGCAGTTTGTTCTACCTCCTAATTGTTTCTCAGCAGCAGGCAACTAAAAATGGGTTGAATATTTGGAAACAAGGGTTTTCTAGGAGTTTTTTTTTTTTTTTTTTTTTTTTTTAGGAGGAGGAGGAGACTGTTCTTACCGACAAAGAAAATATAACTAACAAGTGGGTTGAGTTTTTAAAACTGCAAGCTGGAAGAGGCTTTTCTCTATTTTCTTCATCTTATAACTTTATTGGAAATAGTATCCCATTCCTCCTCTGCCAGGACAACTGAAATCATCTCAAGGCATTGCTGAATGTCCCCTGGAGGGCAAAAGTGCCCCTATTGAGTGGCCAGATCCTTGTAGACACTTTAAATACAATATTCTAAGATTTTATGGAAAGTCTATGGTTTGAATCTCCATCTCAGATCTTGTGCTTATGCCTAAAGCCCAGTCATTTGTTCAAATGAGATACAAGTGAGAACCAAGAACATCTCAAACTAAACAGTGAAATTTATGACTCAATGTAAGGAAGGGTTCATGTTAAAAATGTATCCTATTTGTGAGTTTAATTTTTCTGAGTAGTACATAAATCTCCATATTGTGAATTCGCAACATATTTAGGTTGTAATGACACATGTTCATGATTCTGTGACATTTATTTGCTAGGCATAGTTATATTTATTTAGGCAATTGGAACATATGAGAAACTTTGGATTTTTAGCTGCTATGATTTAATTTTGTTTCCAACTGCTGTTATACTTTATTTCTAAGATTTAGAAAAAACCGATTTGGAATCAGGAAATCAGGGTTTTAGTTGTAGGAGTCATATGAGTTCTCTGCAATAGTAAAAGTAGACAGAAGAGACAAGGTTTTTTTCTTCTGTCTTGTTTCCGTGGAGTTGGTTAAGTGTGTCACATGATGTGCGTACATCTGCATTTTAGTTCAGTGCCTCCAGCTTAAGGAATAAAGGCGAAATGTAGAGTTTCAGGTAATGTTCAGACACAGCCTAACATTCTCAACTAGTATTATTGTAAGCAAATATATGAAATACTTTTTATTTCCTTTTTATAAGCTAAATGTATGTTATGCTT